AGGAACAGAAGAGCTCTATAGAACTGAATGATGACATATAAAGAGACAGTTGTTTTGTGCCTGTGATAGCGGCTGTACATTAGCTATCATAATCAATACTGCTGGCCAAATTCTCGAGCGGCAATTTCTTTTAAGTAACATCCAATGTTAAAAGATACGTTGTACTGTAGGCGACTCTGAGTGGACAGCACTAGTATATTACGGCAGACTGAGGCTTCTGAGAGTAAGTAGTGTTGATACGATGTCGTGCTCTGAATATGGCTATCGTGAAAAGTTGTAGGTAGTTGTTCAGAACCACATATGGCCTATACTGAGCTATATGCTGTTTCCCTGAAAGTAATGCTAAATGTATTCACTCTCGAACTTAATTCTACATAATCATACAATATGTTACTACTAGTTGAAAAAACATTTTATCTTGAAGTCGTAATGAAAGGATTATAGCTCGAGTCGCCGTTAATAATAGTTGTTATTTTATCTGGAAAGAGCTCAAGTTCTTCTTCTCGCAGCTGAAACCAGTGATTAACTTGAGTGTAAAACAGGCTCAAAGTAGAGGGCATAAAGGACTAAGCCCGTGTAGAAGGCTAACACTAAGCATTCAAATTTGCTCGATTATCATATTAATGCTGATTATCTAGACTAACCGGAACATTAGATTACTATGTCGGTCACGTAACTGTCTTTGTTTAATTTTGGCACTTGGAAACTCTCGGCATCGTTGTAGACCATATAGCGCCAAAGTTTACTTGTAAATGATTGTAAATAATGGCGTAATGTTAGTCAAATTAATTTTACCTCAAGGCGCATACGAAAGACGGCGGATCTTTCCTCATCACAGCTGCAAGCATAGTCAATTGTGCAGTTTACACACCCATTCTATTGAGTTATACGCCGCTGGTGTCGATTGTGATAATAGTTCGTTGATAACCTTCTTCATTGTCTACAACAGCGACTTACTTATGCACATCATACCCTCATCTATTGTGTACCCAGGCTATTTTTCTTGTTTATATGTTGATATTATCCTTCTGGGCCATGGACAATTGCTTTTATCATTAATTCCTTTTCCTGTCGTTGCATACATACATCGATAGACAGAATATGGTTTCTTCTTTTGTTGCGACTCGGCGGTTCGTTGCATTGAGGGTAGTCCCTTAGCATTTACATCGGTTTAAAAGTAAGAACTGGCTTACCGCCGACTGGTTGCGCAGAAGCGGAATCGCTCAGCTTGGAGTTTGTGGGTCGTAGCTTTTCCTGGTGGTGGTTGCTTATCTCAGTTTCTCCTCCGTCTCATTTTTTCGTCTTCGTCCCGCTTTTAGGAGCTCGTGTGTTTTTCTGTGAAATGCCAACACATAAATACACATTCAGACATCGAAGCAACGATACAAAAACTACTTTTGCTGTTAAATCAACCAGGGTTGATCCGTGCTTCCGCTGTGGCTGGCCACTATTGTCTTCAGCTTGACATCATTCTCTTTTTCTAAGTTTTCATTTCTTTGCTTTCTATTTATCTGACTCTTCGCCTTTTACCGCGGCACCATGAAGGTGCCGACTCCACACAGTTTAGCCAGGCCGGACTGCACAGGCACTCAGTTCTCGGCCTTCACTCCATTGGCTGGTTAGCTGTTTGCCCCTGTCGATCTCCCAGGTCTCATCAGGCTATTCTGCGTTTGTTTCATCATAAAAGCTTACACGGGACCGGGGCCCCTCAGCAGGCGTACCCCGTAGACAACCGAACTGACGCACATGCGGCCAACTAGTCGCCGTTGCTGTTGGCATGATTGAGCGGTACATCAATGACGCATGAGTTAGTTACTCAGACACTGCCCTTACCACTGGCGCGCTTGTTGCTCTCATGCTGGCTCTTCAGGGATGGAGCAAAGTTCTAATGGCGGCTCAGCCCGCTGTTCTATTGGTCGGCTTATAGTTTTGAGGAATTGGTCGATTTAGTTGGTTGGTTGGGTCTTGCCGTTGCCGAGGCACAGCCCCGTACGCATGCAGCGTCTTACAGTCGTAATCGTTTGAAAGTCCGGGTCGACCCTATACGAACTCGCCGAAGGCAGGTATCGATTGACCTGGAAGAAATGTTAGAAGGGGAGAGCAAGAAGTCATGTAATTAATATGGTTCAGCCCTAAGTTTATCTTTGTTACCAGCTCGAAGAATGAACAGAGTTATAGACAATTTGTTTCGTAATGAGTTCTTGTTGTTTCGTCCCGCTTTGTTCCGACTAAAGGCTATATTCACTTCTAAACTCATATGACTGACGTTATATGGCGATAACTTTTTGAAAAACTTGCCAGACGGTCGTATTTCGCCACGAGAGGAAATTTACTACTGAAAACGTCTTATTACAGCAAAATTGAGTTGCGACTTTGCGAAATTCGGTAACTTGAAACAGCTAAAACACTTACGTACTTATGATGAAATGAACTAAGGCTTATCTTTTTTGGAATGATTGCTATAGTGATTTCTTTACTAGATAAATATCGATGACTCGAATTTATGATTATTACCATTTCCAACGACTGATTTAGCAGTTGTCTTTGGCATGAACAAAACCAACCGTATAGTGCCGTTGTCATATGTCAGCTTTCCCAACCACTGCATATATATACTCTACGACTACACGTTTGGACAACCAGGTGTTCTTAATTGTTTTTTAAACTTATCATTAATCGATCTATAACTGTCCCCCATAGCCCATCATGATTTGCGAAATCGCGCACCTGTACGCACTAATAGAATTAGTTCCAAATTAGTTTGTAAAAAAAATACTAGTGGTATATTATGAGAAAAGTTAATATCATCCTGATGATACCGTTATCAAAAGTATCTGGAACTTTATTCCGAATGTTTTTCTTTGCAGTATGAAATGCGGGGGTCTTAGTAAGACCGTTTCTTGCGCACTATTGACAACTTACGAACTTCACCTCGATAACAAAGCAACAGTTTGCGATGAGTCGGGTTCAGGTAAGAACCTCCTAACATCTGAAGGATGAAAGTTAAGTACACCACTTGATGCTGTTTAAGGGGTTCATGCCGCTGACGAAAACATATGCAATGCGTACCTTACAATGTTGCAAGCGACACGTCCCTGTCTTTAAATGCCGGATATTTCACTTGCTCAGCCTTGTTATTATTCATTTTTTAAAGTTTACCATTAGAACAAATAGACGAGAAGAATCATAAAAACGGTACCACTGGCAATCGACTTTCGTTGGTAACAATAAGATTACAAGAGTTAACTATCAATTATGATATCCGTTTGGTTCCGGTGCTATTATACAATATAATCATATCACCAAATCATAGGGTTCAATGATTTTATCGCTCACCCCGTCTTCGCTGTTAGCCATTCGTTGTTACATATGATCCACCCATATCCTAGCGTTCCGAGTTGTTCGTTCCTTCTTTTCGACGTCTTCAATGCGGGAGTTAGCAACAGCGAGTGGCTCAAGCCGTTCCAGCATCTATTGATTTTGTCATTTGTGCGTGGCTGTCGCTTGCTGCTGTCCAATCCTGACTCTCTTACGCTGTTTGTAGTGGCTCCAGTGGAACCAAAGTTCTTGAGCTCTTAGATATAACATCAGAAGGTAGTAGCGAAATCGGTAAGTGCTGACTTGGGCGGCGCTCCGTTTATCCACTCCGCGGGTCACATGCAGTCAGCTAGATAAGTGCATCTTTGTACTGACACAACTCATTTCTTTGAAAGCCTTGCAACATACAGTTGCTGCCTCGAACTCTAGGTCGTGCATGCAATATGATAGAACTTAACGCTTTAGCTAGGTGAAAAATAGGCTGCGACGTTCATCGAGATCCGCTCCGGTAAATGCCATATAGCGCAATAAACGCTAATAAGCTTCCAGCGTTAAACACTTTGTCGTTCTCTAGACAACAGATTCAAACTGGGAGAAGACAATCGGTTTGTGAGCCGCAGAGTGATTGGCCTTCTTACTAGTCAATGCCCAGGACACTGCATATGTTCCCCCATGCAGTGCTTGTTATGTATCATCATTACTGCAATATCATGTAGCGATCCCCGTTATTTATGAAATGTAGCACACACATATGTAGGCAGGCTGCATGAGCGACTTCGTTTTTTGTAAATCAGGCTTTTGCGGGTAATCAAATATCAGAATCTATCATGAATAATTATTCAGAATTATTTATGCCAGAACCATAATCTTCACAGGCTTTAGTTTAATCAAGTTGGCTTCACCATTGTTTTTTCTTCGAACAACAAAATACAACTCGTGGTTGTATCTGGCCATTAGAATCGGGTGCACGTTGCGCAGTAGAACTTTACGTGGACCTATGGTAGAGAAATTGTAATCTTTACTTGATTGAAACGTGCTTGATTTGACAGTCATTTCTTACAAAGCACCGGCTTTTCTACCTATAACGAGAGCCGTTTCTGAGAAAAAACCATTTTCGCTCAACTTGGGTTTAATAATTGGTTTCTTCGCACGAAATTATTAGTGCTTTATGTCTCATACGTCTGGCTCATAAAACAACACCTTGTGGGGTTATAAGGGCCAATTACATCGATACATTAGACTGATATATCTCTTTTTAATTAGTACATTTTAGCGGGCTTATTTCGGCACCATAATAGAAAAGTCTTTTACAAATATGCTAGTATATATATATATATATATATACTAGCTAACTTTTTTTTCTTTTGCGTAGCATTAATTGTTATAACAATAGCGATAAACGAATTCGAACCCGTATTCTCGCACTTTCCCATATATATGGCATATATCGATGAACTACTTTTACAACTTTTACATCAGATACCCTCTACAATGTCTCTACAAGCTTTTCCGTGGGTACATACAAATGATTCCCATTAAGGACATTTAAGCCACGACGTTTGGTACGTTTATATATTTTTCTTTCTCTAATTGCTTCAAATCTCAAAATTAAATACCATTGGTATAGGATTCTTGGTTCAACTTAATGTACAAGATTCTTACTTTACATTTTTTCATTACAGGCGAGGCCGCGGCAGGACATCCACTCATCAAAAATAGATATATATTTATAAATAAGTTTTTCATCAAATCACCATAACGGGTTCCTGTGAAAAACTCAAATTCGTCAAATGGCGTCATTCGAACCCGATCTCCTAATTCTGCTAATCGGTCTAGCAGCCATTGTCCTCACTTTTGCCATCATCGCGGCAGTACTGTACCTGTACGTGAGGATATACGCCCATGTCTCAGAGCTTTTGGTCATGAAAAACCTTGTAACTATTTTTATACGAGAAATACACACTTTGCATTCTGCAATTGACTAAACTGAAACGGTTCTACCTTTGGATAAATGTATATATAGAAAAGAGGACTTACGATGTCGACAGAAGCGGACTTCGCTCTTATTGTCTCTGTAACCATTGAATCGTAGATGGAGATGCTAGACTTATAATGCACGTAAAAATGAAATCTATCTGTTGGGTATAAATGTAACTGCCCCACTACCTAAAACTTGATTTTTATAATCAGAATTTGCAAACTGTCCAATTTTATATGTCGCATAAGACGCCGCTACAAATTGCACAATACGAACAGTCTAGACAATCTAGGTAACGTTATTCAAATTAAGCTTATTAAAATCGCGCAAGATATAATAAAAACATAAGTTAAATAACATAAGATTATCTAATAGAAACATTTGGGTAAGACTATCATAATAGAAATAGTTTAGACATGTTTAAAATTAAGCAAAATAAGGCCAGTCTTTAGGTTTATTAGGAACATCTACATATATTGATTTTATTTACCCGATTTTAAAGAAATCTGAGCTATGTGAAGGCTATTTATCGTTTAGGGGCATGGCCCATTAAATGGGTAGTAAATTTGGTTTCGTCTCTTTCGACAGCCGCTACGTGATCATACTGTTGTAGTATGATCATGTAGCACCAAGTGTGTACTTCGGTTATAATGGATTTAATAATGAGATTAGAACAAAATGTTTAAACAAAAATATTAAGTTCACTCTGTTGATGTTGTAAGAAATTTACAGATTTTTAAGTTTTTTTGTTCTTTTTTTCAGCTTTTTTTTCTGGTACATAAAACACATTACAAAGCGCCGCAATGGCTAAAAACTGATGCTTAAGGTGCATCATTTTATATTAGGGATTGCAGCGTTCATATTCTGGGCTTTAACTGTTTATGCTCTGTTTCATTATTATCGTATATATCGTGAATGCCCCGGTTTGCAACGGTGCAGTCGCCAATAATTACCAACCCATAAACGCAGCCAGTTAAGTAAACAGGGGTATCGGGAAGTCTTCTAATTTCGGTGACTATCGGTGACAATAACTATCGCAATTGTTGCTTGACGTTCCTTTCAGTTGGAAAATGCTTCGCAAGGAGGTGCGATGGCCAGGCTTGCAAAATCCCTATGGCTGGCCAGCAGATATGATCGGCGACCTCGACGCTCATACTGTCGACAAAAGTGTATGTAAACAGAGACTTCGACCAAGTCGTCTCGAAAAGAATGCCAAGAAATTTCATAAAACACTGGCCGACGTCCTCCCAGAAGCGTGAGTCAATATTGATTCTTATTGTTGTACACATAATTCATTTGTTAGAAGTCTTTATAGATGCTCGTGCCAACTAATATGTTTATAGCATATTACATTAGCATTACTAGTATAACTCACTAAATCTAAGATATGAATACCCTTGTCGATTTTACTCTTAGACAGTTTAAGTGATTTTTGCTCCAAGTTCACGTTTTTTGGTCATCCGAATATGGGCACTAACTCAGTGAGCAGTACTTATACTGCATACTAGACTTTTTATTCTCTCAGGGAACCTCCTCCAGTCCCTGTTCGCGTAGACTCGCTTACAAGTTCCGACCGGAGAGCCCTTGAGTCAGTCGGACGTCAAATGACCAAGAATTCCGAAAAAGAATTCGATACCATTCGGAGTATGCAGGGGCCGGCTATAAAACAGCGACAGTCGACGGTCGAGAAAAAAAGCCGAAACACTTTGGAAGGTGTCTTTCCCTCGACCTCGAATGCTTCAGCCTCAGAGGAGCAAGTAAAAGTACGACGAGATCGAAAACGTGCAAGCAGCGGGTACCGCGATGAAAAACGAAGATCACCAAAAAATTCCTTTAGGGAACACAGCTATCTACCGCAGGCCCATTTGCAACCCGCCCAAAGAGAACGGCCAAATGACCACGCCATTGAGATTACTGAGGTAAGAGTGTTTAAATTTGTGCAGCTCAAACCGATGCTATATGCCATTAAACCAGTGCGCTAGGTTTACGCAGTGGATAGATTTGTGCTTCAAACGTTTTTTGTCCCATTACAAACAAGCTAAGGGATTTTCTTAATAGAGAAACGTTTGGTCGACTCAGAGATTTTTTCAGATGCTGAATGATTTTTTTTTGGCTAATTGTTTCAGGACAATGAGCCCCCTCCACCGTACAGTGAAGTTCGACGTTACCCATAACGGGGCCATTTAAATTATTGGATTTGGAAGTGTTGAAATCTGTTAATATAGGATGACCTCAGCGAATGACGTACTGCAGCTTTGACCATCTCAATGCAATTCAGCATGCTAAGTAGTGATATGATACAGACTTTCATAGTACATCGACGTTACACAAAATACACACATCTCAATTACAGTGATACTAGAATGACCCGAAACCGTCACCCAAGAAAAGAGCATGGACTTATTTCTGTATACTATAACAAATATATGTCCATACAATTGCATTCGAGAAAATATCGTTTTATCATACCTCGTTCGCATGAAATAAAAGCTCAGTTGGTGTAAATTAAATCAGACGCAGGGGTAGCCCGCTACCAGCCGTCGATTGTGATGACTTCAACGTTGCCAATGAAAATCAGCGTAAGTAACCGGAGACGACGAAAACAACAACGAAGTAGAAGATAAGCGAGTGAAAACAACATAATGATTTCTAGTCCCTATATACTATTATTATTACTATATTATGATGATGCTTATTATTATCCGTTGTGAATAATAAACATAACCGCACCTTAATTTATCTAAATTATGCGTCTTTATTCAGTAGGTGTGTTTCAAGCAGCTACTCTGCCACTGTAGAATATATTATTATTACAAACTAAAATGAACCAATATCTCTAAAGTCCTAGTTGATTTTTCTAGCAGTCTTAATCATGTGCACGATTTGCATCGGTTTTCCTTTGGATGTTGCAGCAAACTCTTCAGTAGTACAGCTTAATAAAGCTTTCAATTCCTGAAGCGGCTGAGTAACCTGTAAGCACCCACGGAATACAATTAGAGCTGTTGGCTTCCACTTAATTAGTCGAGGTGAAATCGACTAAGAAAACTTCAATTGTAATAAAAACATTTGTCGCTACAGTACAGACTTTTTTAGGTTTATGTCGAGGCGCAATAAACGAATGATTTGAGGTATACTCACCTCAGCAAACGATAAATCATCGAGAACATCACACAGGTATCCGAGGTCTGTGGCTAACTGGTGACAAGTGGTATCAGGCAAATATGTCAATTGCATAACTTCGTTGATTGTAATATTGGAAACCTCACGACACGCCAACTCCAACATCCAACTGCCTCCGCCAGTTGAACTCGCACCAATCTGCATAGAACCAACAAAACATTTCAAAAATCTTCAAATTTTTCTTTCGTTTTTCACCCTTCTTTTTGATGTCTTTTTTTATTCATTTAAAAGGACAATGTAATAAAAGGCTCTAGTGTATTCCTGCTTGAATAAAAACAACAAATACAGCTACGCAGTTCAAATAAAATCATTTCTACTCTGCCGTTACCGTGTTTATGATGTTGTTTGCAAGTGACTACAAATTTCGTAAAAACTTTTTTTTAAAAGTTGCAAAGTTAGTCCTCTAGTTCTGTTACAGACGATCGAAGAAAGCGTATACATTCATGAACAAAGAAATGAGCATTGTAACCACAGCTTTCCCAGTCTTCAGTAATGATTATATTATAATAAGTTGTGAGCCGAAGAACAAAGATGTCTTATTATACTTCCATATACCTTATTGATGTATTTTTTTTTCATACGAAAGCAAAATATGATGCTTATAAATGGATGTCTGATTGCGTCTGGTTCTTAATTGCCCGTGGAAATATTACTGTTAAACTAATAGAGCGAATCGCATCTCTATACAGACGTACAGAGTGTTCATCGTCACTTGGTAAATGCTGAGAGATATCCAGGTATTGTGGCAGGGTCATTAAGTACTGTCCAATTTGCGTGACGTATTCAAGTGGCGATGAAGCAAAATTGGGCATGCTTTCAGCCGACCGTAAAGCGCCCGGCATTGCCTTAACGTGCTCGATAACACGCGACGTGACAACTCGGACACCCACGTGTTGAGTTTCTTGTTCAAGTTTTTCAAGCGAGTGCATCCACTCCAGCTGAGGCTTTGAAGTCTGCAGAGCCTTGAACCTGTGGTAACATAAAAATGTAACGGTCAACAAGATTTGAAGAGGCGCGCTCATTGGTCTACTAGTTTGAAGTTAGAATAATAGTGAGTGATAAAAACTGGATCAAAGTATTTACCCAATAAAAATCGTAACCTCTAAATCACCAAGCTTGATCTAATATAATGCTTCCGATCCAATTATGTGAATTGTGGGACTACTGGAATACTAAATTTACCGCATTAATTTTGTTCACCAAGAAAAACTAGTAACGTTACCTTTGCCGCAAAGACGGCGTAAGAAGATTTGATACAAGGTCCGATAAAACACCATACCTTTCCTTTAGGTATGGAATACGACTGATGGTAACTTCCACCTATAATATCATGAAGAGACAGTCAGCGTATGTAAAAGTAGAACGATCTATAAATTGCTAAGCTTGAACTGGGACACGTTTTGAAGGGTTGCTTGTTTCAGTGGACATGTAACCCTTCGTCTCTCTTAGCTTGCGAAGAAACTCAGCGAATTCCTTCTAAAACAGAACTCTTTGGATTAAAAGACGAGAATTAGCTATTGCCTATGATAGTTCAAATCAACGCGGAAAATCCACAACCAAAATAGCTCAAATAAGCTATAAAGGTTTTCCTGCTGCACGACTTTATAAAGCAAGTTTTAGCATCAATAACTTGTTTGTTCTCGGTGCCTCTTCGACGAAAATGTCTTTAACGTTTACTCCGACAACTGTCTCGTTCATTCACGGATATCTTCGTTTGGCCTAGAAGTGAATTTCTTATGTACAGTTATGTCTTAAGTATCAAAAACTATTGAAATTGGCGTTATATCGCCACGGCTCTGTCGTAAGAGCAAAACCGTTATAAACTATAGCGATCCCATGTATCAATACTATGCTAAGTTCAGCAAAAAGGAAAACTGGGACAAAATTATCACTAGTCCAAAGCTGTGTTTTGTGCAGGTCTTTACAAAATCGAAAGCCGGTATTTTGTGTAGCAAAACTGTTTTGAATAAAACATTTAGTGTGTAGCACGCCTAAACCTCAACGAATCTAAGCGTACGAATATCATACCACTCATGATTACTATTAAAATCTGATTTGCTAATTTAAAAATTGAGATTTTCAAAATTGCTTGCAAAGGCAGTTCAGGCTTTAAATTAAAAACCATTTTGAAACGGATGACAGTGCCAATGAATCCCTAAAAAATATTTCTTTGTCGCTTGAAAATTCATTTGAATATTTGTTTTCATATGAAAAGCTACATAAATATCGGTCCGATCTAGACCAAGCACCCTGCCTAAAAATGCAAAGCTATGTAAAATACACGAGATAGCCATTATAGGAAACTATCTTGCAGGTTCTACCATTGTACAGGTGTGGGATGAGCAAAAATGGGTTTACAGTTGGATATGCTTAAATCCAAAAATCAGAAAACGCAGTGTTTTTCTTAATTGAAACAGATGCTGTTTCAGCTGTAAACACGCTTCTTCTCCTAAATATAAACCATTTTTACATTCACGTCTCATTCAACACTCAGTTCTGTTCTTCACCTTTGTCATATAGTTTTTCTCTATGTTTCAAACTTTGATTTATACGTTCTAATGAATTCCTACCTTTGTGCAGAGTTCGCTTATCGACTTCTTGTATGTAGCAACACAGTTAGCCCTAATCAGCACCTCGTTTACCAAATCCCAATGGTCAAGCTGGTCCGCTTCGGCTGCAATTTTTAGCAACGTGTTGAGATCTTTTCGGCATTGGTCAACAAACAGGCGAATCAACTTTGAGGCCGCATCGAGAAATCCGGGATAACAGGAACTCTGTGTACGTTCATTACAAGCCGTTTCAGCCGAGAACAGCAATGTGAATAATTTTTCCGCATTTCGTCGGAGAATCTGGTGACTTTCCTGCAATGCGCGAAGATCGAAGTTGTCCTCAGGCTGCTGTACGGTCTGAAGTTGCCGTTGAATTTGTTGTTCTTGATACTGAGCATATCGACTCACGGCTAATCCAAGGAAAGTGAAAAGTGTACCAGCCAGTTTCGATACCTCCGGAAGAAACTTTGCTTCCTCTTCCAAACAGATTACACGTTCGAGTGAAATTGCAAGTTGCAGCTGAACTCCGAGTATGTCCAGAATTGATTCCAGGACGTCGGCCTGATCTGCGAGCCAGTTTTCAAACGCGTCTTGCAAAGGAGGTTCCATGGCTGTAAGAACATCCGACGCCATTTCTGCCAGAACACCTCTGGCACCCACGTCACCTAGTGACAAGTGTCGACCCACAAATACAAGCTGCTTCTCACACTCGGAGGTTAGCTCTCGATGAAACACCAACAAAACCTGTTTAAGGTTTGAATGATTTTGGGATGACCACAATTCTTGCAATCTGAAATAGTAGATACATTATTCTAGTCAAATTTATGTCACCAAATATTGTTTGCTCTACTGTCAGAGGTATCGGCAAGATAACTATACAAACTGTAGTAAAATGGCAGCCTACCGTGCTTTGATGCAGCCTTGGTAATAGGACAAAGCTTGCTTTTCTAGTCCAATTTTGCCAAAGAGAATAAACCACCGGGCCGCGTCCTCTTCCATGACTGAGTTGACGGCGGACACAAGACGTGGTGCCATGCTTGCTTCCAAACGATTCTTGATCCGTTCCAGAGTCTGGCTTTTCTGCGCGAAATCTGGGGCGCTCCTGAGCGTATCAAGTGAACGTTCCAACTGTGTCACCCTTTCGACAAGCAACTCAAGATTATGCTGTTGAAAGAGCGACTCTACATCCGATACTAGAATGGACCACGAATCCGCCTCGCGTAGCGCACTTTGAGCTTCTTCCATTCTAACGAATAGCCATACAATGCACATAGGTATATTTTAGAATAAAAATTTAGCTTTGCAGTCACAATACAATTCAAAATGAATTCACTTCTGTTTTCCACGTCTCAAGGACCGTATAATATACAAAAAATGAAATTTTGAACCTTACAAATGGCTAAGGCGACTGATATATCGGATTTGTTAGAATTGTTCCTCTGACTAAATCTTTGTATATCCTAAAATTCATGCTCATGCTACGTTCATCTGTCCATAATATAATAATTCCGGACAACACAGGTTTTTTTGAGAAAAGTTTATCAACGTCGTCAGTCGAAAATCTACACACTTTTTTATACAAGCGATATGCAACAAAAATGATTCCAAAATTACGAAAGAATACCATTGCTTTAGGCATAGCACCTACAAATGTCACTCGGCAAATAGAGGCCTCGTGCGAACCTTGTTTTAATTGTATCCAGCAGATCTAAATACTGCGCACTACGATTGCTCTCGAGTTCCTGAAGAATCATCCCATTCTTTACAATAGCCTCACTACGAAGTGCCTCAAAATCCCGCTGAAGTTTGGCAAGCAATCCTGTGCGTTGATGGATCTGAATTCCGCAAAAAGGAGAAAAAGCACTGCGGTATATTATAATTCAAATTGAATAAAGTTACTCAGTGGTATTTTTCCCCATACCGTTTGTCTTAGTATCCGGTCCAATAGAAGTATTATAATTTATAGAATATAATCCAAGGGATAAACCTTATAGGACCGGTATGCGTTACCTGAAAGGCGGTATCCTGCAAAGACAACGAAAGTTGGTGAATGAACAATTGGAGTTTGAAGGAAACTTCATTTGCTGTAGACTCAATGGCAGACTCGGATGGATCTAGTGGGTCCAGCAAGGAATTAAGCCACTGGGTGGCTGAGAACGATGGGGCCGCAAATGCCGATAATTCCATATTTTGCGCTCCTTTCCTGCATGGATTTAACACGAAATAAAATAAGAATAAACCACACTTTTTCTTTACACTAAGGTTAAACCAGAAGGCTATACAGTTAATTTTTTCAAATACTTAGTACAAACTGTTATAGGAATTTGCACTAAAAGGTAATGTTTTTCTTAAAGCTTAAAAAAACGGATGGGAATATTCAAATGGAAAATTCTCTATGTACACAGTCCGAGCGTAGGGCAGGGTTTTTTTTGCATATTTTTAAAATAATGCTTAAGGATGTTGAATATAAAAGATTAAAATGTTATTTTAAAAAGTTTACATTTTCTGTGTTGTACTGTGTTGTACAAGTGCTGACAAACAATATTTCAGTAAAAGAATAGAGATTTCGATGCTCTGAAACCCTAAACACTGTTGTACTATTTCAGTGAGAATCCAGGCCATTTCTAGTCCCCGAGTTATTTATCTTTAGTCTATTACATATTACACTAGAAGTTCAAAGAGGCACCCATATCTATTATAGTTCTCGCAAACTTTTGTCTATACACAATTGTAAACAAGCACCATTTTCTACAATTTTATTTTAGTTGGAATAGTTGGAAATTACCTAATCGTATTCCGAACTTACCTATTTAAGTTAATCTAGTTAGACGCTAACAATCATACACTTAAAGACGATGCTCTCTATTTTATTTATAATCTCAGTATAAATAATTACACCCGTTCAGTCAATCCGTAAACGATGACGCAAGTAACACGTCACAATTATCCTCTGTAGAACTATATTTGGTTCCAGAGAAAAGACATCTGTTCGATTTTCACTTACTCTTCCTCTTGTCCTCCCCTTTCTTGTTTTTCTCTACTTATTCGTCTGCTAGGGGCGAAATCGCTCAATACAAACATATACTGCTGGCTCTGAGTGACTTTACTTTTATGTCAAGATCATCTGGTCGTTTATTACAAGGATACTGCCAACCAGCTGATCAACTCTACAACGTTTTTGTCAAATTTGTTTCAAATCGAAATTGTGTTCAGCAGTGAAGTCCGGCTGGCTCTCAACCGTATTATCTTCCATTAGCTCGCAACAAGTGTGGGATTTCAATTTGTATAATAGTGGCGACGGTTAGCTTCAGCAGATTCTCTGCAAAAGCAAGAAACCTCTTGATGTATCGCCTATGTACCTAATCGCATCTAAAAATCCGCGCTTCTTTTCCTTGGCTTAATTTTGTTAGATAGCGGTGCGTCTGTAGCATACCTTATTTGTGTATGTGACTCGGTTATTTTGGGTCCGTTGACAACAGCTTGTGTACAGTAGCATATCCTTTTCTGATTAGTGCTGTACTTGTTTTCTTCTGCGTGCATGAATGAGTGTTGAATGAGACTTCGCTCATGTATTTTCTAACAACATGTAAAGTTGCTTTTGCGGAACCTACTGTCTTCCTTCTGAGGTAAGTCCTACTGTCAAACCTTATCGATACTGACTGCAATCTTGGAGCGATAATTTACTTGCACCTCAAAAATTAGATTTAGTTATGTTACCCTAATATAATAATCACGAACGTTATTTAAGGCGATTAATAAATAAATGTTAAAGGTGATGACATAAATAATTTTGTTCGGTAAAAAACATTGAACACATTTTTATTTATTTGCTTGATGCTTTTAGCAAAGTGACATAAAGCCAAAATCTATTGGAAAACTAAATTTACTAACGAACTATACGGTAATACTACTGATTTTTTGCAGCCGAGTCATAAATGGTACCGTGGCTTTAGGGCGGACATACAGGTCGGATGGTGCAAACTCATCGAATCACAACAGGCTGTCAAACGCAGACGCGAAGACATTACGGACTTCTTATAGCACTATGGCGAAAAATGGCAAAAGCTCCATTGCAGGAGTGAATGAATATCAACGATATGTCTGTTCTGTTGTACCCACACTTGAATTCGGAAGTCATAAAGGCCAGTGTGGAAGGATTGGAGTTATTGGCGGCTCCGAGGTCTTTGTCGGTTTGTCATCATGTCAATCTCATCTATATGTGTAAACCATACTGATGTCGTTAGTTAGTCGTCGGCAAGTTAGATCTCTTTTTCGTTTTATATGTACTATTTAAGCAGTTAAGGATGACTTTGGGCTGCAGAACCAAGCATGTCTTCTTCCAGATCTGAGCCTAGGTCACTACATGCCCTAAATTTAACAGACAAACATGTTACCCACTGCGTTATAACGGGGACGATCCTAACCATATGATATGATCAGAATGGAATACCTTTTAGACGATAGAATTGGGGTACCTTTTTTGCCATGATCTAGGTGAAGTCCGTTATACGCAGTAGAAAAGTCTTAAGCTAACGCCACCATAATATAAACTAACCATGAAACCTGTTTTTCTTTAAGTTCAATAAAGCGATTAGCTACACAAAGAAAGAGTACAGAAAGGTATTCGCAATACTTCCTTTAAATTATTCCCTCTTGATTGAAGTACTCTAATCAGAGTAGTTATACAATTAGACGGTAAAACTCGTTATTTCCACAAATGTTTCTTCACTGTATTCAGTTTTCAATACAAAGCATTTTTTTCACTTATGTATGTTTATATTCGTTGTTGTTTTTACAGGAGCACCGTTTTACGCATCAATGGCAGCTCTTCGTCTAGGAGCTGATCTTGTTTATGTGTTCACTACACAGGTATGCAACTCTCTAAAATGAGGTTTCTATTTCGACAGGAAACTTCTAACAAGTTAGCAAAATTACCTTCTGTTGATCATTCTACACAAGATCAGGCTGCAGGGCTTATGACTCAGTATCTCCCGCGGTGAAGCCTTAAGCTCAAAGTTTATTCCAATAAAAATAATTCACTTTTTTTCCTACAGCGGTTCGGAATATAAAACATTTTAAACTTTTGTGAAAAAATAGACCAATATAGATTATCTTGGTCTATTTTTTCATACAATAGCTTTTCTTATTATAAGATCCAAATCCGATTTTTGTTGTTTAGAGTGCGGCAAACCCGCTGAAGTCATACAGTCCCGAGTTGATGGTTCACCCTTACCTAGATAACAAGGACTGCGTTCAGCTAATGGATGCTACGCTACCGAAACTGCACGCGCTTGTCGTTGGATGCGGGCTGTCTTCGCACCCGGAGGTGCACGCCGCGGTTGTGCATATTATCAAGCGCGTATGTAACAACAACATTAAATTACAAATACCTTAAAAAAGAGGCGATTGTACTACTGATTAATTCGCTGCTGCGAATGTTGATTTTGCTGAAGCTGGTTTTCTCATTTGATTCTGTTCTTTGTTTCGAAATATTTGTAGTTCACTAGAACTATTCTGTAATAACCGTAAAAACAAGTTGATTAAATTACACATAGACGAATGATAACCTTAAATCGTTCCTTTACAGCAACGAAAATCTATTGTTTACTTTAGGTCGATTAGGACAATACTTGTATATCAACCTAATCGTCTTCTACGGGTGTTGCTCTTAACAGGCCCGAGAGCTCAACATGCCGATTGTCCTTGATGCGTCCGTATTTCCATTGATTGTATCGCAGCTTGATTTGGTTCGTGGCTATAAGGGAGCTGTACTCACCCCTAACTTTTCAGAGTTCAAGAATCTTTACAAACATGTCTGCAAGGTAATTAAATTATTTTTTGCCTGGTTGGCCTTTAGCTTTGAGTACCTCATAGCTTACAGCTCGGGAGTCGTTTGGACACTGCTACGGAGGGCATGAGGTACGCGTTAAGCCTTGCCCCCTTGCTACTTCCCTTTGTGTCATGACCCGCTGGTGCTAGTGAACACATTTACCCTCGCTAATTCTACTCATCCACCTGAAATCTGTTTTGTAGGTATTCAGAGTCGCACCAACGAGTTACGCTAGACTAGCTTATTATGCTTTCTCCATTATCGCTAGGACAAAACGTAATGATTGGTCTACAAGGTAATTGACGCACCTCTATTGTCCGTAGGATAGGCACGATGGACAACTTGGGCCCCGTGAAACACCAAAACGTGCTTTCTTGAGAGCAACACGCATGGCAGTATTATAATAATTGCGTTCATTTATTGATGTATTGACACAGATGTAGAATGATTTAATATAAATCAGGTATCTTAGTCGAGTGGTACTAATTCAAGTTCAGCAACATATCATCATTTATGCGCAGATTCATACACAGATTGATTTCTACTAGATACTACTTCTTAGTGTAGATTTCTTACAAGGAAAGGAATATTAGGAAATGAGTTTACCGAATAAATCTGATCCAAGACGCCGAGTTTAAGGATGGGTTCAAAAATTATATTCTAGTTAGTCATTTGAATTGAAGATTAGTTATTTACAGAGGAAACGAGACTTCATTTAGAAACTTCAACCCTGCTATTGATATTCACATCATCGTTGCAGAAGGAGTTCACTGCGAAGCAAGCTACCCCAGAATCTGTGGAAGCGTTAGCATCTTCAATGGGTAATGTTACGATCCTCGCAAAGGGTGGAGTAGACATCGTAAGCGACGGGCTGAGCCTTGTACTTGGCGATGAAACTGGTCAGTAATCTCTATCTAATACTTTTTTAATTTATTAAGGTTATTTTAAATAATTTTATTATCTATTTATTAGCTATTAAAAGCTGGCTTTCTATCAGATATATACATGTAATACAAATAAATAAAGTTGTTTGGCATTGCCTAGATAAGGTGCGTTTTTGTTTGCCACGCAAACGAGCTAATCTGAAGATGATTCAAACAATTGAATAAAAATATGTTTAATCTTTGCTGATAATTTAACTGCGTTAATGACCACTACAGTCCGTGGTATTTATTGAACGGTTTTGAATGGACGAATCAACACAATAATACCGACGATACTGACTTGTTGGAAGCAGGTTCTCCTCGTCGATGTGGTGGCCAAGGGGATATCCTCGCTGGTCTGCTTGGAGTTTTTTCATATTGGGCCTTTAACGCTCAGAAGACTGGTATGCTGTCGCAAGCTTGCCCACTCGGCCCAGGAATCGTCGCTGGCCTTGGAGCATCCATGGTTTGTAATTTTTTTCAAGTTAGGTATTGCACTGTACCCTCTACGCACACATGAGGCCTGGCTTGAGATTAAACGCAAAATCGGGATAAAAATGGAAGAAAGCTAACTTTGAAAAATTAAATATAGTTTTTAGAACGATTTTATTGAACTATATTTGACAGATACAGGTAAGACTTCGTTGTAAACTAGTTTGTCATTCCCATATATTTTCCTAGTGCTTGTAGATTCCATCCCCGATAAAATACGATTTTTGCATATTTTAATCGGTAAATCGAAACAAAACCAAATTTAGTCGAAACGATGGTAGCCTACGGCTTAATGGAAGGTTTTTAGATGTTGTTCGGCGTCAATAACTGCGATTCTTAAAATTCTCCTTCTCTTTGTTATAAGGTAACACGTCGATGTGCGCGCCAAGCGTTTCGAAGGATGAAACGAAGTACGCTCTCAACGGACATCGTCGATGAAATCCGAGATAGCTTTGCGGTCCTTTTCCCGGTAGATTAAAGTGGAGGTATCTTGAATCAAAATGCCAATAGCAGAATTGACAAATACATGCCAAACGTTTTTCCATTAGGAACCGCACTATCTATCAGTTGATCGGCTATCACCTATTCCACAATGTCTGAATAGCTGCTCTTCCACTGCAGGTGTAAGAATATGAAATACGCCTTAAGGGCTGAATATATCTCTGTAAACGCTGAGAAGATTTTGAAAGAGTAAGCTTATATAAAAATGTGCATCATTAATTATTACAACTTTTTTACAGTTAGGAAACAGGCTTCTCGCATCGAGCTGCTGTCAACACGGTGAAGAAAAACGGTCAAGGACGCAATCGCACACATGATAATATGAAAGAATATTTTTCGGAGGTAAAATACCAACGAAGTTTAAACCTAAATTTTATGAGCACTTCGATTATCATGCATATTCTGTGGCTACCAAGTTCGTACGGCAAGCTCAGACGAACATTTCCAAGTTTGTCGAAACTCCTTCGTTGCGTACTGCGTTATCTATAATCTTCGGTCCATTACCAACTATGAAGTTTATAAACCATTTAACCTTGCCTTGCCAGTTGTTAGAGGAGAACGACATTTTCATGACTTGTACTTGTCATTCTTACTCCTTTAGAAAACCACTCTTAATAGTGTAATCACCATTCTACTGATGCACATGGTTGCCTTTAGAATACTTAGGCTAAATTTCTTAGCTGTAGTTTATACGTTTCAACTTTTAAGATGGTCTATGCAAGTCAACTAAGGGCTAATTACATTATGATTATCAGAAAGAAATAGAAAAATAGCTGATAATTATTCTGGTAGTAGTAAAAATACACACATACACAGACCATTACATATATATTGCAAATTTACTATACCAAAAGGAGGAATAGCAGGAGCGGTGCGTAACGATGTGGCAAGAACTAATTCAGCTCTAATATCTACAACACTGCGTTGAGAGAATGGCTAGAGCATTGTTCTAGTGCACGTATTTTCATGCATAGATCTTATCCATAAGCTTAGTTTGCGCTATTGCTTTGGGCTAAGTGGAACCTTGGATTCGCAGATTACTTCGTATAATATTCGAAAATAGTTAACAAGATTTGCTTCTCGCATTTGTGCAAATGCACATACACTAAGCTGCAGTAATAGTAAGGTAGTGGATGACAAATACACTTTGCTTCAATTGAATGTACGTTTGTGAAAGTGTCAGTATATAATAGTTTGTTATTTAATCGAGCAACTGAAAAAGGTATATCTTAACTTCTGCATTTTGGCAGCATATGTCTAATATTTGGACCGGTTTATTTCAATATACGTTTTCTTTCAGTTTAGTTAAGTAAAAGAAGAGTCTTTAGATATTACTTCGATACGACATAATACAAAACGAGATACTGTTCCTGTACGGTTGCACATGTGCGAACAGTATAACTGTTGTTCGTTATTTTATTAATAAATACCCACATACAATGAAGCTGGCCTTATGATTTATCTATGAAAAATCCGCCTTTGTCCGTGACTGACCTTCGGTCTGGAGTGTCTCAGGGCTTTCGGCTCTACAATCTTTTTGACTCTGTCTTACTACTGTGGTGCTCTTCCGACTGCGCGCCCTCATTTACGCTATTCTTGAAAATGTCATTTTAGGCAAAGAACCTAGCTGTTAACGGTGGTTAACTCTTAAGCTCTATGAAGAACTTAATAAATTAAATTGTTTTATTTCCACAAAGCCATATTTATACTTACGGGTAATTTTTTTCTTCTGTATTACATGGCGCAATCTGTTTTTCGCAAATTTGCAATCGGATTATCAAAATTTCGGACCTTATCAGCACAGAAATATAATGTTTAAATTAATGATCAATCCGTTAAGAGTACACTTTTTTTCACTCTAATAAGCATATATTTTTGAATCAAACTGTCAGTGCATGTCGTTATGCATTATATCTGGAAGGAGCTTATTTGGTGTACTAATAGTTCTTCGACCTAAAAGAACACATTTGACCTGGTGTGAAATTTCATATGAGCAGTGGCCTGGCCGTAAATCACATAGACTAATATATCAGAGAAAGCCCTAATTCAATAATAATCGGAGTAGCATTCCAGTGTTATTCTTATGACTATTTTCGTTTATAGAATAAACTTTAAGTGATGCAATAGGAAGCAAATACCGAATATGGTGAAGCATCTATAAGGGATTAACTGAAGCCCTAAGCTGAGGAAGCTGTGAAATTGCTCGACTCTAAAGGTCTCTAATATGAGTGTCCGCGGATCCTGTCTATGTGGACTTACCCGAAAATAATAATTTAGTAAAAGGTAGGTGTGATTGATAAAGAAATAACTTTACTCAAAACAATGTTAATTGCGAACACGTGGAGAGATCCACAAATTCTACATGCTGTTAACCTCTATTTCTTAATTTCTTGAAAATTGCAGAGAAAGATTTTGGGATCAGTATTGTTGAATACGGTGATTTTAAGCGCCCCCATTGTTTATTGCATTTGTTGAGAAAAGAGGACATCTAATGAAACTGGATTCAGTGACCACGATTCTGCGAGCACCAATTTATTGACAGCAAAAGCTTCATTGAGAAATAGATCGTTTTCAGGTTTCACTGTGGAGTCACTATCAAATTATGCGGCCGCTCCATATAGATCACAATGCAGCTTGAGCTGCTTTGTCTAATAGTGCTACCAGACGCAGACCCGAATAAGGCGGCACAGTAGGAACACAGATTAAGTTACAAGTGTTTTTCAATTCTTGACAATTTCTTCGTTTATTAAAACCATCCTATACTTTTGATAAATTTATAACTTAAAAGGCACAAAGTCGGTGTAGTGTTATATAGTTTGAATACAGACGTTTACATCCACTTCGTTTTATTTATGCTTATTCCGGTAGATACCTTTATATAGAGTATAGGCAAATTTGTTCCGCCACAAGTATTCTCATCGTCCTTATTGTGTGTATTTGTGGGTTTGTTATTCACTGAAGTAGAGAAAAATAAAGACAAAAACGACATGAAAGTATGTAGTCAAATGCAACCTACGTACACATTTTCCAGTTATTCCGTTGAACAAACTCAAATAGGATGCCATACAACATAATTCAACAGAGACTTTATAGTCGTATTTTGCGTCGGTCTGCTAAGTACATTGTAAATTTGAGGAGCACAGGACCTTTAAGTTTCTCAGATAAAATAGTTTGCACGCAAACTTTCGGAGCCGTTTTGCTAATAATTAGTGTTTCTACTTCGAGTTATTGCTGTGGTACTAATAGTCTAATGTAAAGTACACTTGAATACATGCCAACAGTTATTACATTGTACAGAAACCTAATAGGTTATAAGGTAGATTAGTTTGGACACAGGTTTTGACGTGAATACTGTTTTTATTTTTAGTTTAATGATCATGTTTGGATAGAATACAGGATGACTTGTAGGCGTTTACGCCGTCTTCGTTTCTATGTCAGTGAATGTTTAGTTTCATACTGAAAAAAAAAAATCCCTCTAATCTGCTCAATTTCGTACTCGTATTACCTCAGGTAAAAACTCTACCAGGTTAAAGGATACTAGGTTAAAGCGATAATTTTACGGGCGCTAGCCTACAAGAAGTCAGAAAGGGAGTCGGATACAAAAACGGACAACGAATGTTCCGAGTTCGTACGCCCTATACTGCCATTACGCGGCTTCTAGGTTTAGTTGACAAACACTTAACCATTGGAAATATGTTCAGTTTAAAACACTAGTTTAATAGTTTAAAGGAACTGGGCTTCGTTCGGTTCGTGTTTTCTGATTAGTTAATTTACCCCTACCATGGCATTTACATCAGCTTTTGCGTTGAGTCGATCGAGCACTAGATGAGGTCGGAAATCAGTTTCGCGCGCATCGCGTTGTAATCAGAATTTGTGTTTGGTCGTCGGTCATTTCGCACTTAATATTTCTTATTTGTAATCCTGCTCCTCGATTTAGCGGTTCTGATTAAATATTTGCGCGCAAGAACAATCAGAAACTTTACATGACATCACTAAACTATCACTAAAACGATCTTGTTGGAAAGTAATCACCGAGAAATCCTAATAGATTACAACATAAAGCAATATTGATCATTTTATTTGGTGAATTTCATTTTTAAAGTTTTTTAATTAAAAGTAACACTTTGGTAATGAATCGTACAATACATTTAAGGTATGCAGAAGCGTACAGGCAAAGAGATCATCGATCGTAGTAGTCAATGTGAGCTCCCGACTCGAAGGCATTTTTATCAATGATATCGCAGAGCTTCTCAACAGTTTGGCGAGTATTTAGGAGAATTCCTTTCTCCCTTAAATTTTTAGCCATCGACGACACAGAACCGATTTTGCAATTGCGTAACTCAGTCATCATGTCTGTCTCCAACGGCCCAGGAGAATACTGGAGGATGCGGATTTCCGGGTTGTCCTATAATGTGATAACGAAATAAAAATCGAAATGGATAGCAAGCATTTTTACAAAGTGGCGGGATAATTGATGATTTTTATCAACCCATGGTTCTTTTAATCAACAACATATTTTCATCACTATTAAGGTGTAACATGTTAAAAACACGCAACAGCTACAACCGTTTCTGAGAGAAAAACAATCAAACTGACTTCTAATTTTTTAATGAAAAATTGCTTTAACGTATAATAAGTAATATGTCCGTATTTTTGTTGATACCATCCTATTGCTGTAAGCTTAATTAGTCTGTAAAGTATATGTCAAAAAGAACAAACCGCTGCTAAACAATCAAAGTACATCTTGCGTGCAGCTTTGCCCGTGCAATAGAGACCGATATTCGGAAAAGGCTTGATGCCACACAGTGAAGAGATGTTCACCAGGTAAATCGGTGCCTAGTCAGAACAATGCAGACACAACAATCCAATAACAATAAGTTTATTAGGTAGGATCGAAACATATTAGAGACAGAAGAAAAGACATAGGAAATCATAAAAATCATTACTTTTGCAAGAGTGATAACGGCGCTAGAGAGAACCATCGGATGGTGAACGTTCGCAGCGAAGTATGAGGCAAGCTCATCCAGATTATTCTGCTCACTTAGCTGAACATTGGTGTTGCCTGGAAAAGGTTCATTACTAAAAATCTCTTCACATTTGTAGGAAGTTTGTACCTCATCAAATCTCATCATTACAATACAGCTTATACAAAGGCTTAGCATGCTCCCCCGAACCTGCCGCCGATATACATAATGAATTACTCTTCGAGTCGAAGCAAATACTACTAAAAATTGATTCGACAATTAAAAACTATAATTACGTGGCTAAAAATGTGTATATTAAATAAAACCAGTGAGTTTTAAACAACTCACCAAGTGACCCGGCATTGTGAATAACAACAACAGCTTCAGGTGCGCACTTCAGCTTTTCGTTGAGCAGCTTTTCGTAATCGGCATACGTCGCTGTCGCATTATCGCTCACGAACGACTCGAACATTATCTGCAAATGGACCCCGGTTAATAGAAAACTTAAAATATTATTTTGCCTAAGGTTATTAGTAGCATTCAAAAACGTACTTTTCGAATAATTAAGTCAAGTGCACCAACAAAGCAGGATATGACAGCATCCATCAATCACTGTGTGATATATATGTATATATATACACATAAATACACCTTGTTAAATATATTTACTTCGGGGAAAGTCTTCTTGAGGTTAGCGCAGTTGATATCAAGTTTTTCTTTGTCCCTGGCGGCGAGAACTACAACGGAGCCATTCGCAATCTTCGCCGACAACTGCATAACTATTTCTAAGCCCAAACCACGGCTGGCACCAGTAACCAACAGCAGAACTCGGTTATTGAAGAATGATTTCATTTTTGTTCGATTTCATCTGAAAAACATATAATGCTTGATTTAATAATATAATAGTTAATTAACGAGTATTATTATTACTAATCATGGGATTAATTGTTTATTCGTGCTAAGCGAAATTGCGCGATGGTGTCCTTGGAAATCAGTTGCTCCGTTTCGATACCGGGATGCTTATCTCAACAGATATAGTAATTAACACTTTTTTAGTTCAATGTTAGGTCTTTATCTACCGACTACAGTAACATATCCGCGTTTCTGCTACGAAGTTCCACCTTCAACAAAATAACGCTTTCCATAATTTATTTGACCTATTTCCCGTGTTCAAGCTATTTGCAATTCTAGGGTATCTAAAAAATATGCATTTACACCAACAGGCCATCTTCTAGTAATCGCGTCTCTGAGATCTGCGGGAATTCATACTACGATTCGAAACTTATTTACTTATTAAACACATCGACAAAACTACAATTCGAACAAAACAGTCTATTCTCTAGGTGTGCCTCTGGCACCGATTGTTGTCGACCCTGACCAACAAAATGAGGAAAGTTTTTTCAAAAAAAAATATTTCAAGCTTGGTAGAATGACTTCATTGTTAATTCGCATTAATTAATGTTTATTTTATTTTGAAAATCTTCACTTTGCTGACATTAGTATCATGTCTCTGGGGGGTGAGCAGTTTAGCTATGCGCAACCTGTTGCACTCTCTAGGACAAAACGTTTTGCCCTTCTTTCAATAATACAATAGAATTTTTCAAAAGCAGAAACTGTCGATGTAGGATACGAGGAGAATAGCCGTATTTATTGATAATTATATTAGTTCTAATTGACAAAATGTTATTAATAAGATTCGACACCGTAAGCGTACACATCCTGTCTAAATGTAATGTACTGATTATGTTGAATACGTAAGTTTTGATAGATCACATTGAATTATAGTAAATTAAACTATTTCAAACGCTAGATATGCGCAGTACATCAATACATCAGTAGTGTATGATTCTATTGTATTATTGAAAGAAGGGCAAAATGCTTTGTCCTAGAGAGTACAACAGGTTGCGCATAGCTAAACTGCTCACCCCCCCAGAGACATGATACTAATGTCAGCAAAGTGAAGATTTTCAAAATAAAATAAACATTAATTAATGCGAATTAACAATGAAGTCATTCTACCAAGCTTGAAATATTTCTCACCTGTGTACTATGACTTTCGAATTAACCGGGTAGATTCTATGCACTCGTGTGCTACATAGAAGCTTCCCTCAGCTGACAGTTAACAGTAGAAACCGCTAGAAAGACTTATGCACAATGTGTATACGCAATAAGGGGTACACCGAATAGGCGCAGGAGTTTATGCGACTAAAACAAAGAAGCTAATTCTTTATTATACATATATATTGACAAGGTTAGTTAGCTACACATATTATGAGGCACCATATATAGGCATCCGCGACTACGCCAACAACGGCCTTTCGTCGCGTGGTGCCGAGCCAGTAGCAGTTCTTTTTAATTTTCCATAGCTGTAGTAAGGGATATAGACGGCGATCAAAGGAGAATCGTTTTTAGTTAACAATATAAGCAATTACAGCGCTATGGCAACTCAAGCTAGCACATAGGCAATGTGAGTAGTAATAGGGCATTTCAGGACAATTATACGAACAACGAGATACAACAAAGCGCGATAGGAGCACGGGCAATAGCCTACCAGCTTCAAAACTTTCAAAACAAAAAGAAAATGTGACTTTCACTTGTGTTACTTCATGTGCAAGGTGCCGTACTGAGATGCCTGTGAACAACACGAACCTCATCATACTTGCTGCAGATAAATATAATATTAGCAATAAGGAACAGTCTGTTTATTAAGTATCAGGTATGTGCCGTTACCGATAAATTATTGTCTGCAGGGTCTGGAATTTTCGGGATGTAACCTAGAATCTTCACTAAGCTAAACGTATCTGGGATTTGGATGCCTCGACAGGCAAGGCGGTCAGTAAGAAGCTCAACAGCCAGGGAAAAATATAGCAGCATAAAGTGTGTCATGTAAAACAGGAAGCGGCTCTGGCAAGTCAGACCATGCCCATGTATTTGGAAATAGTAAAAAGGTTCGTGACCGTTTTAGGCTTAAGCGTCAAAAAATCGCTCATACCCTCCTACAGCCGATCTTGAGGAAGGCCGAATTTTCAAGTCCCCTGGATACGTTAAGCCATCGTGCAGATAATAGGGCGTGAATATAAAGTCACCATGAGGACCTTTATTCTAAAATTACGTTCTCTGAATAATAAAAGCGCTGGGTTCATGTTTCGTTAGGTACGGTATCTGGGCATAATCCTGCATTCGTCAGGCGCTTGTAGAATACTCTATCGCCAACCTGATACAAATTCGAAGTACAGGGAGCCTGGATAACTTCATGGTAATTATGATCACACTCTTGAAGAACACTGACATAACACTGACATGACATTGGGAACATTGAGAACAGGCCGGAGAGCAATGACAAGAAACCTGGGAGCCGCACTTTCCAAGAAACCGACGAAAATATTCCGTAGTTTTGCGCATAATGAACTCTGTGTATCATGCAGTGTTAAACGCTGTAAACAGAAATATTGGAACAGAAGCATTAGGATGATGCTGCGAATCATGGCAATGACAGTGACGATCAAAAAAATGAGAACACGATTCAAAGGCTGTTCAGAAACGAAGAAATGGTAATTCTTGACGGTGACTGCGGCAGGCCTGTAAATTCAACGTCAATTTAGTAGGAAGCTCTCAGTGAAACCCGAGTCAACTTCAGCCATCTACGAATCGTAACGCGTTAGTTCTTCAATCCAGCTAGGCGACTGATCGACGACAGTAAAGCAAATATATTATAGCCACAGTCCCTATGTACGTGAGCGGAGTCGACGGCGAAATCATATCCCAGACCAAAGTGGTGGCCTGCAAAATTCGGCCAAGAATGTTTCCGTTTTGGAATAGAGCTAGTGAAATAGCGTACCAGGACTAGTTTTCAGGCGAGCATTTACGCGGACACAAGTTTTTGAATCCTCAAAAACATAGAAGTAAAACTCTATCCAACGAAGAGTGCAAAACAATGTATACTTGTTGCAATAATAGCAAATACAGCACCCATTCTAAATACATCATGGGAATGAGATATTATGTAATAAGTATCATGTGAAATAACATTAGTAGAAGAGTTAGGTGAAATAATTCCTCCTATTGTAAATAAGAAAATAAACCGTAAAGATAAAACTATTGGTAAAGGTAACATCATCATTAAATTAATTGTAGCTAATCACAAAATCTTTATCTTCGTAGAAACGGTAACAATCATTGTTGCTGCAGTAAAATCAGCTCGAGTATCAATATCTATTTCCACTCTATTTATGACAAACAGGTACATGACTGGTTTATACGAAAATTGAATTTTTGTTATAAGACCTATGTTGAAATAAAATCGTGTTCACCGCAGAATTTACTGTTCCCCACTTAGTCTAATCACCATGCTTTATCCTGTTTACCATCGCCCGACAGATAGAGCGCGGGAAACTTTAAATCTGCTACGTGCCTAGTACCGGGTGGGGGTGGCTGAGTATTATTACACAAGCATGTTAAAAAAAACGTGATTAATTAAACAAATTTCTGCTATACTGTGTATTGTGGCAATACAATTGTGGTTATGTAAACTAAGTATGCTTTTAATACTTAAGTCGCGCTAAAGCGAAATCATCGATACGTATTAACTATTTATTCTTTCCATGAAAAGATTCACCTCAGGCTTTAAATAAAATATGTCTAATATTAAATAAAATATAGTAAAATTAAATTAAAAAATATATATATTGAAAATGTTTAAATAAAATAAATTTAAAAAAGACTATGAAGGCTTTAGTTGATAGCTAAAATAAGCGTGCGTAGTCCACTTACTTTTGATATTTCGAATTATAAGAATTGAGGAAGTTTCACGTGGTTAAACGACTTACTTGAAGATAAGTAATAGCGGTGACGTGTCTTTCAAACGTTTAACTTCGTTGTCTTTTTTAATATCCACGCCACGACACAACAAAACATGCGTAGTAATCTGTTTGTTCAATACGTCTCTATGATTAAAATGCTGCATCACCTTCGGAAGCACTTCGTGGTAAGTTGTCCTATGCAGATTTTTATATTGGGACTATAAATATTTACCTAGTAAAAGTGAAGATATATGTAGGACGTACATTCTACTTCCTCAGTCAAAGTTTACAACGATAATTTCTAGCGAAGTTACGAGGGATATTTTAAGCTACTTCTATCTAGCCCTATTACTGTTATTATTGGCTTTATTCCTACTTTCGACTTGAAACAATCAAGATTTCGTTGAATTCCATAGCTAATCGTTATAGCAACTAACGGTAAATTTTTGTCCTCCACAGAATGAATACATACAGTTTCTCCTAAAACGCCGTCCTTGTCCTCTTTTGGTTTTATTGGTTTTACTGTTTTTAATTGAACAACAACAGAGTGGAGTAAGGTTATGCAGGATGATACTACATTAGCAATATTTTCATAATGGCCATACCCAGTCAGTCTCGTATCCGGTATAGATCACCCTCTTGATTGACCCCCGCCACCCCACTCCCACCCCCCCAGTGCAGAGCAGAGATCCATCAGATAATCCGCCTTCTGTTCATTCGTAACCACTTAACTTTGATGGTCAACCTTTTTCTTTATTTTATCATCTGCTGTACGTCTTGGCGTAAGTTCCCTTTAATTTGTCACCTTTTCTCTTTTGCTATTCCTTATTTTGTCTCTTTTCTCTGCCTTCATCCCTTATGTATGCCGTATGTCTAGTTGCCCTTACTTTATCCTAGTAATATTATTATTTCATATATAGTAATATTAATTAGAATGATAGCCGACCGGTCAATTACTAGTATCATCATTATTATTGTTATTCATATTATTTATATGTTATTATTAATTAGCCTTTCGTACACACACACATGCGTTCCTGCAGCGACGCCCAATCTTTTCCCTCCCCGGAATATTATTGTTTTTTTGTATATTATTAATAATTCTTATATAACTAGGAGTAATAATAATAATAATACCGTGCTGTTTTCGATGTGCTCGCATTTCGGATTTCTGTGTGTGCCCGCCCGATAACATTTTTCCCTTTGATATACAGCAGAGTAATTCTCATGATCAATTTACAGACTATATCAGACGTATTCGTCGGATTTCCTGCGTAGGTCATGTCTGACATTTGTTTTTGTTTAGCTGCTATATCCCATTTGTTTCCCGACTTGAAACTGTGAAAAACCTACACCTGCTGCCATGCCGTCGCTCGTTGAGTCGGCGTATTACGTTAATAGCTTTTTCTATATTTCGTATATTTGGATTTTTCAACTAAGCCATTAGATCCTTTAAATTTTCGTGAATTTTTTTGCATCAGTAGTTTGTTGTGCAAGAAAGTACTTTATATGTTTTCTGGAAGCTAATGTTGTTACTGCTTTGTATACTTGTGGCCGTCTGTGTTACTTAATTGTCAGAATTACGATGATTACTATGATGGTCATTATTATTATTATTTATTAACGGAACACTTGAATGATTCATACTACGTAACGGACGCGATCTCATAATAATAGATGAAATATGATTACTCCCTTAGCCTTATAATTATTATTGGCTCTTCTTTATTCGCACGAATTGAAGTCGTTTCCAGCTAACAAGCCAACCCGTTTAACCAAAAATCTGCCAAAAGATCAACAACAAAAGAAAATAATCCAAAAATACATTTCATTTGACACCATCGACGAAGTCCTTGTCGCACTTTCTATTTTCTACGAGGCGATGTATTTCTAAGCCAAGTTGTCGTTTTTCTCGTGTCCACACACTCGATCCTTCCTTTTTTCGTACAAAAACAATACTTTTCAACAGAATTAATTATGTATATATTTATATAGTCATTTAATATGCACTGATACTCACAGGCTGTTTGTAATGTAACGTTCACTAATGTTTTCGTAAGGAGTCATCATAAATGTTTCGTGATTGTAGGACATTATGAACTTCAACATTGCTGTCAATCATGATCACCGAATAAGGCGATGTAATGCTTTTAGGCACTTGCCATGTGTGATGAAACGGCTGCGAGATCAATCAGTCATTTTCGCGTTGTAATACAAGTAATGTTATGAGAGGTACTTGTCGAAGCTGAATAGATCAGCGGATAATAGACATACTTCATTATGAGTTCGTACAACAATATCGCTCAATCAGAATCGATGACAAAGAATTCAACAACTAAACAAAATGAAACAAGCAGACCAGAGACCAAGCGGAGTTGTAACCACCTCAATTTTAAGACCGGGTTGTTTTTAAGTCTTTTTCAAATCTTTTTTGTCGAATCAGTGACCACATCCTCCTTGAACATGGAGAACACTGAGACGATGTGTGTCGAACGATTTCTATCATTATCTGGTCATAGGTGACACTTCAGTCCTTATCGCCAGTAAATAGTACTATCACTCGGATACACCCAGTTCGATAACTGTTACGATTCAAAGAAAGTTTTAATGTATGTATCGGTCCTTTTCAACCATTTCACCATCCATTGAATAAGCAGTATTTCCATAACGGAAGCGAGCACCCTGTACTCCTATATGGAGCCCAAACCGTACTGTTGCAAACCCCACAACGCACCGCAACAGTCAACATTTGCAGATTCAATAATCGTCAAAGTATTTCACTGCCGGGCCCGATCGCAGGCTAAATCAGTAATAGCAGCCCATATTATATTCAATAGGTCATCAGATTAATGGTCATAGCTAGTGGTGAAATAAAAGTACACACAAATGGCACATATATTTATATGTGCCATTATATACATATATGTGTAGATACCGATCACGACTTGACACAGACGTGGTAATCGTGTAAGGTCAATAACCACAGTGACATAGATAAGTCAAATCCAATTACTGTTTTTTTTGGGGAATAGTCAGTTTTTTGTAAAAACAGAATTCACGAGTGTGTTAGATCTGATCGCGTTTTGTTTCTAGCACACAAAAGATCCTCGTCAGTACCATCTGCTTTAGTTCGATAAGCACCTCGTCACACCTGTAAGCTACAACGCGTTTGCCTCTTCGTCTTTCTCCATCATCACCTTCTGCTTCCCATCCTTCAAAACAAATTGCAGAGAAAATAGAAGCGAAAAACTAACAAATAGCAGAAAAAAGAGCCTGGATATTTTTGTCTCACAGTATCCACTTCGACATTAAATGTCAATCAAGTGTCGCGTATTCATTTTGCCATGTGTGCGGTTATTTATGGTTCTCCTTCAAGATTGCTCATTAGGAGGGATCGCCGGTAGACGGAACCGAAATGGGAATAGCGACTGCGTACGGAACGTTCTTAATCCTGAAATTAGCTGGGCATTGCTATTGCCTATTCAGCGAATTGCGGACACTTTGTTGTGGCTGACGACAAAACTTTTCTTTCCTGTTAGTGTTTTTTTGATCTCATCCAAAAGGGATATCTCTCTCTATGGCGACAAGCTGGTAAGTACTGGTACTAACTGTTACGGATGTATAACAGTTATAAGACGATACATACAGGTTAAGTTGATAAGATATGCTGCTAGGGGAAAATGAAGGAGGCAAATGAATTAGCAGGTTATTAAAATACTATCGTGTATGTTCGTTATTAATAAAACACAAAACGCTTTAGGATTCGAGGAACTAGTAATCGTGGAGACGCTGCAGGGACATAAACGGTAAGGAAAATTAGAGAGCGCAACGGGGAAGGGGATGGGTAACTAAATAGGACCAAGCTGCTAAAAATGTCGGGCTTCAGTCCACTCTAATGACAATATCCGCCTATTCACTACTATGAAAATCAAATCACTACTATTATTATTATCGTTAGTGCTGTAATACTAAGGATATGTTTAGGGGCCACTCCGTTTTTATCTACCGACAGCCGCCCGTAATAAGCGATAAACTCATAGATGACCTCGCACTTCGCAAGGTTAATACGCCACATTTGATTGACATTCAAGGACGACGTGGGCACTGTGCGACAAAAAGATTCTGGCTTTCTGTCGCCTCTCCCCCGAACATATGTGTATATATATATACTTATACGGTATATAT